CTGCCGGGCGCCAGCTTCCGGTCCACCGGCTCGTCGGTGCCCGAGCTGGAGTGCGCGGCGGCCGAGCTCGAGCGGCTTCGGAAGGAGTACGAGATCTTCCGGGTCAGCAAGGGCCAGGAGGTGCTGTCGCTGGGCCGCCGGGAGGCGCAGCTCGACTCCGAGAACCGGCGGCTGCGTGCCGAGCTGCAGGTGACGTCGGGGGAGACTGAGGCACGGGGAGAGGGCGGGGAGACTGAGGCACGGGGCGGGAGACTGAGGCCCGGGTGGGGAGACTGAGGCACCGGGAGGGAGACTGAGGCACGGCGAGACTGAGGCGGGCCAGGGGTGGGGGGTACTGAGACACCGGGAGAGTGAGGCACGGGGAGACTGAGGCACGGAGAGGGGGGGCAGGCATGGGGCAGGAGACTGGGGGGGGAGGGATGTAGGGAAACTGAGGCCCGGGCAAGGACACTGAGGCCTGGAGAGACTGAGACCTGAGGAGGTGGGGGTAACTGCGGCCCGTGAGGGAGTCTGAGGCCAAGGTCAGGGAAACTGAGGGTGGGGGAGGCCAGGGGAGACTGAGGGGGGGTTGGGAGACTGAGGCACGCCCGCAGGCTCCCCAAAACCAGTCATAGCTGAAAGTTGGGGGGACATATCCCCTCCTTCCTCCTCCCCCAGCAGCAGCCCCACGCTAAGGCCTGACTATGTTGCGGCTTGTGTTCTGGGGTTTGAACCCAGGCCTTGGTGCTTTACCACTTGAACCACACAGGCAAGTCCAAGTTCTTTTTGTTTGCCTTTGAACTCCAACCCCACAGACCTCAGGCTCCTGAGTAGGTGGGAATTACAGATATGGGCCGCTGGTGCCCTGCTGTGTTTTGAGATAGGGTTTCCCTAATTTTACCCCTGTGACAGGCACACACACACACACGTGTGTGTGTGTGTGTGTGTGTGTGTGTGTGTGTGTGTGTGGACAACCCCTGTTGTCCTCATTCGTGTCAGTAACAGCAGCAAAGACACAGCAGCTTGTCACTGATAAAAGTGAACAGGTGATTCCAGTGCTAGGGTGTGTAGCACAGACCTGAGAACGCAGAGTTCTAGAGAAAAGGAGGTGTGTCTGTGGAGTGGTAACAAGGTAAATCATTCCAGGCACTTCAGAAAACCTATCAGAAGATTCTCCGAGAGAAAGAAAGCGCTCTAGAAGCAAAATACCAAGCAATGGAGAGAGCGGCTACGTTTGAACAGGACCGGGATAAAGTGAAAAGGCAGTTCAAGGTAAAGCCATACACATGCCGCCCCCAGACCCACAGAGTACACACGGGATGCTCGACTCCAAGTCAGTGGTAGAAGTCGCAGAAGATTGTGAGAGCTAGAGAAGAGCGTATCTTACAATATTCAGTTGACTGGGTGATGTGGAGGTAGCGTCAAAGAACAGGTGCAAAAGTGAGCATTTTAATAGAGATGATTTTTACTTTTTGTGTTTGATTTTTATGCCTGTGCTGGGTCTTGAACTCAGGGCCTAGATGCTGTCCCTTAGCTTTTTTTCCCTCAGAGCTGACACTCCACCACTTGAACCACAGCTCCATTTCCAGCTTTTTTTTTTGGTCCTGGGGCTTGAATTCTGGGTCTGGATGCTATCCCTGAGCTTTTTCACTCAAAGCCAGTGCTCTACCACTTGAGCCACAGCGCCACTTCCGGTTTTCTGGTGGTTCATTAAAGATAAGAGTCTCACAGACTTTCTTGCCCCCGCTGGCTTTGAACCTCAATCCTCAGATCTCAGCCTCCTGAGTAGCTAGGATGACAGGCGTGAGCCACCGGTACGTGGTTGGTATAAACTTTTGATTGAGGGGCAGGTAGGGAAGTTTGAAAATTAAACCTGTCCTTTTAAAAGATTTTCAGGGAGACGAAAGAGAATGAGATTCAGGACTTACTGCGAGCTAAGCGCGAGCTGGAAAGCAAACTTCAGAGGCTCCAGGCTCAGGGCATCCAAGTGTTCGACCCCGGGGAGTCTGATTCAGACGACAGCTGCACAGATGTCACTGGTACGTGTGTTCCCTGCTTGTGACACGGTGACCTTTTGACATCACCGCGGTGATGGTAGACTTTGAGTGACACTGTGTTCCTTTGACTCACCTGTATTAGTGAGTTACTGCATGGGCGCTGACCCAAATAGATTGACACGTCCCTTCTCCCCTCCCCCTCTCTCCATCCGTCTCTTCCTGTCTTTGTCTCTGCATCTCTGTCTGTCTCGTCTCCCTGAGCTCTTTAGTTCAAAGCTAGCACTCTACCACTTGAGCCACAGCGCCACTTCCGGTTTTCTGGTGGTTCATTGGAGATTAAAGCTTCACAGACTTTTCCTGCCTGGGGCTGTTTGGGCTGGTTTTGAACTGTGATCCTCAGATCTCAGCCTCCTGAGTAGCTAGGATGACAGGCGTGAGCCACTGGCACCCGGCAATTTTGTAGTGTTTCTTTTTAATTGTTTAATTAAAACTGCTGTTGAATGCATGTGGCAAGGTGTCAATAACTTGGTCTTTTCACAAGATGCCAATCGTTTGGGTTGCAGCTGCTGGTACCCAGTGTGAAGACTGGGCGGGTGGAGCCCTGGGCAGCGAGCCCTCCCTGGGGAGCATGGTCCAGCTCCAGCAGTCCTTCCGAGGGCCTGAGTTTGCACACAGTTCCATCGACGTGGAGGGCCCCTTCGCCAACATCAACAGAGGTAATGCAGCCCTCTGGCCCCGTGACCTGGCTTAGGGGTTAGGTCGGGAATGTGTGTAATCCCTGCCACGGGAGGTGCCATCAGCAGGCTGCAGGTGGTATTTGTGTTCTGTGTGTCCTTGTGCACTGACGTGTGACCCACCAGGGTTGCTGGGGTGACCTGATTTCTTATTTATTTTTGTTTGTCGTGGGGCTTGAACTCTGGGCCTGGGCGCCATCCCTCAGCTCTTCAGCTCAAGGCAAGCACTCTACTACTTGAGCCACAGCACCACTTCCAGTTTTCTGGTGGTTCATTGGAGATCAGAGTCTCACGGTTTTTCCTTACCCTGGCTGGCTTTGAACTGTGATCCTCACATCTCGGCCTCCTGGGTGGCTAGGATGACAGGTATGAGCCACCAGTGCCAACAATGCTCCAGCCTACCTGGCCAACCAGGTCTAGTGAGTGCCACTGTTCTGAGTCCTCAGACTGTGACGTAGATGAACTGCAGAATAGTAGGTTTTATCTTTTCCCTCTGCTCCTTTATGATATTAAAGGTTAGAACATGTTACAAAGCAATTGTAAATTAAAAAAAAAAAACAGCTGTCAAGCACTGGTATCTCACACATGTAATCCTCGCTCTTCAGGAGGCTGAGATCTGAGGATCCCACTTCAAAGTCAGCCCAGGCAGTGAAATCCATGAGACTCTCAATCAATCACCACAAAAGCTGGGAATGGAGGTGTGGCTCAAGTGGTAGAGTGCCAGCCATGAGTGAAAAGGCCAAGTGAGAATTCAAGGTCTTGAGTTCAAGCCCCAATGCTAGTCAAGCCCCAATACTAGTGTGCACGCGCGCACACACACACAAACACACACACAAGGTTTCAGTTAAAAGAATTGTCTTAGTATTTTCTTTTCTTTTTCTTTTTTTTTTTTGGGCCCTGAACTCTGGGCCTGGGCGCTGTCCCTCAGCTCTTCAGCTCAAGGCCAGCACTCTACCACTTGAGCCACAGTGCCACTTCTGGCTTTTTTTTTTTTCTGCTTATGTGGTCCTGAGGAATCAAACCCAGGGCCTCGAGCATGCAAGGCAAGCGCTCTACCACTGAGCCACCTTCCCAGCCCTCATCTTAATATTTTCATATACTTTAATTATCTACTTTTTTTTTCAAGAAGCTGTAAAGCTCACAGAAGCTTAGCATCAGTGCAGACCGAAGGAGTCCTAAGTAGCTTTATTCCTTTTTCTGAAACTATTTATTTTTCTATTAGCAAACTGAAATCATTTGCCTAAGCTGGGCTGGAGTTTTCCTTCTCACCAAATCTCCCCTTGATTATCTTTCTCAAGTGTGGTGTAATCCAAGAAGGTAGAACACTAGGTCATCCCGGGAATACGGGGCTCCCACAAGTAGCAAAATCACAACAATTCACACAAAACAGAGCCGGAGCCGTGGACACCCCGGGGAAGATCTCGTGACCTTCACCACTTCCAGTGTGGGGAGGGTTTGAGGTTAGAGAGTTGACAGTTTTCTAGAAATGATGTTCCTGCTGAGTGCGAGTTCAGATCCCGTACCAGGCACCTGCTGTTTCCTTGAATCACGCGGTCCGGGGTGTTCGGTCGCTTCTCCGTGACTGATGGTCGCTTTCTTTCCAGATGACTGGAACGCTGCAGTGGCGGGTTTGTTGCAGGTGACTCCCTTGCTCTTGAACTGTCTATGGAGTAACTCTGTCAGGTGCTACCTCCTCTACACAGATGAGACGCAGCCAGAAGTGGATCTTTTCCTTCAGGTGAGGGTGATTTGCCAACTGTCTATCCATTGCTTGAAGACACTCATTACTTCGTCATCTAATTTATTACGGACCAACCCCTTTTACAGTAAATATGTCTGCCTTATTAAGGTTAGTGTTTTGTCACGGGGAAGGCTTTGAGCTATGCAGATCTATGGATCTATATTTGATTTTCTTAGAACAACAAGACATTAAGTGAAAACGTTAACAAAAAAACTACCAAAACAAACTTTTGGAAACTATTGGAAAATGCCCAGTATACTTCATCTTTACTTTTTAATTAGATGTAATATGCTCGTATGTATCTTACTTACTTTCAGGATTATGCCCCTAAACTCAAAAGAATGTGCGAGACCCTGGGGTATTTCTTCCATGTGATTTATTTTCCAATTGATGTTGAAAATCAGTACCTCACCCTAAGAAAATGGGAGCTTGAGAAGAGTTCTTTAGTTATTTTGTTTGTCCATTCAACATTGCCAAGGTAAGCTGGGGGAAAAAAAATTGTCATTTACTAGAAACATGAACCGTGAATGAAATTGAGTTTATCGTGTGAACCTTAAATGTTAGTTCTGATTACATTCTTATAACAAAACAACTAGGGGAAAAATCAATCCTATAACAACTTCACATTCTTGGCAATGGTGACTAGTGCAGCAGGATCATGGATGTGTAGGTGTCTTTACAGTATCCTGGCTCATGATGCTCAGGGTAGATGCAGTCTGCTGTCAAGAGGGGTTGTATTTGTTTACTTTCCCACCAACAGCACAATAATCTTCCTTTTTTCCCCATATCCTTGCCAACATGTGTTATTCGAATCGACAATGTTGACCGATCTAACTCTGGGATGAGATAGAAAAGAGTTGTTTTGATTTACATTTCCTTTATGGCTAGGGGTGTCGAACATTTCCTCCTATGTTTCTTTGCCACTCTTCCCTCTTCTCCTGAGAAGTCTCTCCCTAGCTCCTTTGCCCAGTTAGTGATTGGTTTATTAGCTTTGCGAAGGGTTACTTTCTTGAACTTCTAATATCCTTTGGGATATTAGGCCTTTGTCTGCTATATTGCTGGTAAAGGTCTTCTTCCAGTCTGTTGGCTGTTTTTCTAGTCTAGTAACCATGTCCTTTGCTATGCAGAAACTTCATTTTTTTATTTTTAGTTTTTTTTTGTTGGTCATGGGGCTTGAATTCTGGGCCTGGGCACTGTCCCTCAGCTCTTCAGCTCAAGGATAGCAGCTCTGCCACTTAAACCACAGTGCCACTTCTGGTTTTCTGGTGGTTCATTGAAGATAAGAGTCTCTCGGACTTTCCTGTCTGGGCTGGCTTTGAACTGCGATCCTCAGATCTCAGCCTCCTAAGTAGCTAGGATGACAGGAGTGAGCCACAAGTGCCTGGCTGAAACTTTTCATTTTGGTATAATCCCATATTAAATCTGCAAATAAGGTAGGCTTGCGGTGGTAGTTCTTACACACACACACACACACACACACACACACACACACACAAATAAGGTAGGCTTGCGGTGGTAGTTCTTACACACACACACACACTCTAGATCACTTTCACTTACCATTTCCTAGAAA